ATTCCTGCTCTTAGTTTTACTGCTGTTTTTTCTGCTTTCTAATTCAGCAGTCATTTCCTCCTCCACCCACTCCCCTCTCCCAGCACACACTATACGCACAACCTTTGCAGACTTGTTAAAACGAAATCTGCTGGGAAACACAGAAAACTTGCCAGAGAGGCATTAATCCAGCGGGTGATCTCCTCAGCTCCCTGCTCACAGAAATACGTGCACACCCCATAATCCTGCTCAGCAACTGGTGTGATCAGTCGTTCAGAAGAGCCAGAAGCTGTAAAATGTTTACCCTCCAATTTAGTGCAACTTGCCATCCTCTTTCCGCTGCTGCAAATGCCTCCACTGACTGTGTAAGGACTGGGAAACTTTGTTCTCTTCGATAGCTGTGCCTGGCACCTAAAAGTAATTAATACCTTTGTAGATTTTTTTTTTTTAACTGACTGGACGAACTGTGCCCCTCCCAGCTCAAAGGTGGTTTCATGTTTAACAGCCATTTAAGTGTTTAATGGTCCTTTTCGTAGATAATTCTGCCTACTGTGTTCAGCTGAGCTGGCCCTGGCAAAAAAAATCTCCAGGTAGCTGCTTTTCATTCAGCAGATGAGAGTAGGTTCTGGTTGTTTTGGGTTATTTTTGGGGTGAGGGGTCTAAACAGATACGAGTAATATGTGGCACATGGCTGTGGGTGGCTTATCATCAGTGTTTTACAAACATATGCTAATTAAGCTCCCTTGCCGCAATGAGATTGGCAAGTTAGTGCTTGCCAATCTGTAAATACCTATGAAGAGCTAGGAACACCTATGGGCCCTGTAGATAAGTTGTTATCCATAGAATAGGCAGAGGAATGGGGAAAACCTCTTGCAGGGGTAGACATTCATGCTCTGACTTGCCGTATTTGGGAACGCTCCTAGGTAATATTGATAGATCACCAGCTGTGGCAGGGGTTTGAGAAGACTGCCATAAACCCCGCGCACGTTTTGCTGGCTTGGAAGTGCCACCTGCAAGGCAGCTCATCTGCTTTTCGTACAGGACTGCAGTTTTCTTGGGTTTAATCCACAGTCTTGTAAAGAAGCCTGAACTCACCCAGGGCCCCAAAGCCTGGAGGGAACCATCCCTTCATATTGCAAGGCCAGTACTAACAACTAATGGTCTGTCCAGGACATGGAGTAATCTCTGCAGTTGTTGGACTCATTGCAAATGGAGATGGAAAGAAAACAAATCACACTTCTGCTATCTGTTCTTGATCCATTCCCTATGTGGATGTTCTTACTTCAAATGAGTATTATCTGGCATCCTTGCTCCTAAATAACTACATCCATACCACAGTGTGTGGAGGGGAGAGGGAGCATAACAGGCCTGAATTAATGCATGAACTCTTTGTGCTTTTAATTATAATCTACCTGTGTATGAAGTTGTTCAGGAATAAAGTGGCACAAGTTCACCATATTTTAATTTTCAGAGGTTCTAATAACATTCCCTGCAACTCGCTGCTTTGTGCAGGGAAGTAAGAACCCAGGCAGGACCTGAAATCCGGTTCTGCTGAGCAGGAGTTATCAAGGGACTTACTACTAGTTTATAATGTAGCTCCACCATAGTTCACCTGTATCAGGAACCTACATGTTAATGATGAGCATAAACACAATGTCAGCTCTTTTTTTCCTTTTCTAACAAAGAAAAGCTTGTGTAAGCACTGTTGACAGAAGGAGCCTGATGGAGCAGATGTGTTGGTTGTTGTTGGCCGTACAAGCAGAGACTCAGCAAACACAGTAGGGGACATTTACTGTGGCATCACTTTCCCAAAAGCAATTTATTCAAGGGCATTTTTTTAAAGGAAAAAGGTCTCTGGTGAGAACTATTTCCCCTTCTGTAGAGGACTCCTGCAAACTGAGCTGCACCTCTTCCAAACTTCAAGTGAAGAAAATCCTACTGTTGGATCCAGTCTTCAACTCCATTCACACCTGTATGTGCCATCCCCAGCACAGCTTGGCTTGTCGCTGTGACCCCAGTGCCTGGGAAATTAAAATTCAGGCAACTCTATTCCTAGCATACTGTCAGCGTGAGAGCTCTGACCCGGCAAGTTGATGTTTCCCAGTGGGACTAGGAAAACAGTAGTTTCCTTCATTCATAGCCTTTCGAATGTTGGGGAGAATAACTCTCTCAGGCAGAAAAGTGAATTGATATTTCTAATGGTGTAAAAGATACAGAAAGGGAGAGAAAGACAAAACATGTAAGATCAGCATTAAAGTTGCCCATAACCTTCTTGGTTTTGTTGTTACTCATCCTATGAATGTTCAGGCTTGTCTGTCACGTCAGTGCAACCTTTTGTTTTTATGTAAAATCTGTGCCTGGAAAGAGGGATTAGTTTTATACCAGAAAAAATGTACATGTGAAGAAAGGGAACAATCATTTTTGCCTCCAAATCTTGAAAAAAAAAAAAAATCACACACAGAGTCTCTCTCTCTCTCTCTCTCTCCCCCCCTCTCCCTCCCCAGTCCCTTCCTGACAAATATGAGGTGTATATGTTTGAGTTCCATAAGACATTCCTCATGAAGCCAGCCCTGAGAGCAGGCTTCTCACAGGGAGTTGGGGAAAAAAGGGAAAAAAAAAATAATTCTTGTTGTCTGCATTACACACCATGGCTGAGGATTAAGGCCCTGATTCCTCTGCATATTCGTTCTTCCGTTACCTTCTGATTAAGTTAGAGCTGTGTTTTTCGCTCTTCTTTTTCAATCTATTTTCAGTGGTGGTCTTTGTTTAAGTGGATCTTCATGGAGGCGATGAAAGTTTCACAACACAGAGGAAAACTAGGTGTTTGGCTTTGGCATTCCTCAGGCTGCTGAAATAAGCCATCTTCCCCTAGAAGAAGGAGAACTCTCCAAGACATTTATTAAGCTCCTTCCAAAGTGCAGCAGGAGCCAAGCCAGAAAATGACAAGATTATTGGTAGTGCTCGGGCATGTACATCCCTGTACTTTTGTCTCCCCTGTATCCTCTTCCATATTTTGGTATCAGTGCTGTCCTTTATTTTGCACCAGTGTGATGGGAATCCCTTTCAGTTCCTAATATTTTATTCAGTTGTCTGTCTACTGTCTTCTTGTTTCCAGATTATTGCAGTGGTCATGGATGTATTTACAGACCGGGACATATTCCGCGATATTGTTGATGCAGCATATAAACGCTGGATCCCAGTCTATATAATCCTAGATGAGGAGGGTGTGAAGCTCTTCTTGGAAATGTGCAGATGCCTTGACCTCAGTGACTTGCAAATACGGGTAAGATATTCAGTACTCAGCCATTATCTCCTGCAGGTCAGTGGCCATTTTTAGTTGTAATGGATCTTGGAACTCATTTGGACAGGCAAACACATGTCTTCCTCCCTATGAGTCACATCACAGCACTTAGACAGGGGTTGATGGAACATAGAGGGATGAGAGAGTGGCTTGCTAATACAGAAAGAAAGAAGGAAAAGATTTGGGTTTTTTGTCTTTCACCTGAGACAGGGATCTATGTAGTTTCTTGGCTCTTGTGACCTAAAAATTCCTGTTTGGGAAGAAAATTGTCTGAGGAAATTCCTGTGGGTCTCCTATGCAAGGATTCAAACTGGAGTCCAGAGTATCTCTTGGAGTTGTTGTCTGCATGGATCCCAGTTCTAGGACACATATAGTCTGTGAAACCAGTACTCTTCTATCCAGCAGTGATCACCTGGGAGTGAACGAGCTTGTAGTCCTCCTTTGCCTGAGAACATAGGGATTGAGGAGCATAGCTGCTCCCCAGTTCCATATCAGAATATGCCTTCATATAGTGCATGCAGCACAGTAGTCAGCCCAGCTTGGCTGGCAGAAGCAGCCTCAGTAGGATCTCATTCCATTACATACAGACTGAAATCCTTTGTGTGTTTACAGTTAGTATTGTATTCCTTGCTTTTTTCATGGTTTTTAATCACTGTCACTACTACAGACTTGTTCCGAATAGAGAAAAAGTTGCTAGGTTGGAAACAACCTATGGGATGCCAGACTCGCCCCTTTTGTGATCCAACTGTTCTTCTGAGCAGCGGGGATAAAAAAAGTGCCTTTTTGCCTGGAGGAAGGGCAGAGCTTCCATAAACACTCGATTAATGGTTTAAGAAAAAACAAAACCCACACAACCAAAACTAAAAAAGCTCTGATAGTTATAGAGGCTCATATTAACCATTTTAGGAGAACCATCTTAAATCTGGATGAAAATGACTTGCATATATCTGAACAGTGCTCCCGTGAACTATCACTCTGCTCTGACTTTCTGGACTTCATCAAAAAAAGACATCCAGCCGAGCAGCTTTCTCATCTTTCTCCAAAACAGAGATGGAAGTATCTTTCCTCTGGTGTCTTTGAAAGCAAGACACAGACGACATCATAATAGACCCACTTCAAGCTTCAGGGGTATTCTGTGGCCTAGGCTCGAGTCTCTTTGGTACAAAAGTGTGAAATCACAGCAGTAGTTCCATTTGTTCCGGTGCCTGTTTCCCAGTACTTTTCTCACCGTGTCATCATGTGCAGGAACGATGCCTTCAGTACTGCGTATTTTAACTCCTGGGTAGAGTGAATGAAAAGATGCCCTGGCATTTTAGAGAAAGTTGCAATGCTATTAGAGGTGTGAGTTCCTTTTTGTCTGCCTTCTCTGTCTTTAAACAGTAAGCAGTCCCCTTCTGCTCTTCCTCTTACCTCTTTCTCCATAGGTATCTACACAGACTTTGCACTCCAAAACCAATCATCATAGTGACGTGCTACAGCAGTGACTAGGTCCTGCAGCATAAACACTAGTTGCGTTACCCTTTCCAAAGAAGCAGAGTTTGAACCGATGCCATCAAAAGCAGAGAAAACTCTTCTGTGCCCTTTCTGTGCTTCCCTTCTCTCACAGCAGCCCTTGCTATGTTTTTCATTAGACTCCTTCAGCAAAAAAAAAAAGTGCAAATACAAGCTGAGCTGAAGGAGAAGAGTCCACTGAGAAGAACTTTTTAACATCCTTTGACCTAGCTGTTCACTCTTCTGCAGAGCTCCAGCCCACAGAGTGCTGTCCTTCATTTTTTCCCAGCTATCTCATGCTGTATCTTAAATTCCCCTTAAGGTGGTTGTATTCCTTTTCCAGTATGGCTAAGGCTTTAGTTAATCTTGTTAAGGGCAATGCAGTTTGTTCCTGTCTATGGTACTATGGAAGGACTGGGAAGAGTCTTCCTGTAAGGGGAAACAGGTCATTTACCTCTCAAGGAAGATGGCCTCTTAGTATCCTGCCCAAGACTGCCTTGGATGTATCTATGGTACTGCTTGGGTCAGAATGGCAGAAATCATCGTATAGTGATTCTCCTAACACCAGGCTTTAGGTACCCAAGGAATCTCAAGCAAGGTTAAGGCTTCCCCTTGAGGACTCTCCCCACTCCCACCTCATTGATGTAATGTGTCGAGGGTTGTTTTGAAAAGCAAGAAGGCAAGCTGGGCCTCCGGGCTTGTTCAGGCAGAATCATTTTGTCCCACATTGCTTGATCACAGAGGGGAATTGCTGAGTGGCGTGGTTTAACCCAGAAGGCAGCTGAAACAACCACACGGCCGTTTGCTCACACACACCCTGCCTCTGTGGGATGGGGGAGAGAATTGAAAAGAAAAAAGGTAAAACTCATGGGTTGAGATAAAGACAGTTTAATAGGACAGAAAAGGAAGAGAACGATAATAATAATAATGATAAAATAATATACAAAACAAGTGATGCACAGCACAATTGCTCACCACCCAGAATTCATGCTCAGCTAGTTCGGGAGCTGTGTGCCTCCTGGCCAACTCTCCCAGTTGTTTACTGAGCATGACGTCATATGGTATGGAATATCCCTCTGGCCAGTCTGGGTCAGCTGTCCTGGCTGTGCCCCCTCCCAGCTTCTTGGGGGCTCCCCACCTTCTCATTGGCAGGGCGGTAGGAGAAGCTGAAAAGTCCTTGACTGCTTGGCAACAACTAAAACATCAGTGTGTTATCAACATTATTCTCATCCTAAATCCAAAACACAGGGCTATACCAGCTGCTAGGAAGAAAATTTAACTCTCTGCCAGCCAAAACCAGGACACTGAGGAAGAACAAGAAACTCTAGTGTAGTTAACTTTATCATTCACGCATTTCTTCTTAGAGATATGTCTTTCTCCTGACTTCTGCTTTGATGTCTGAGTTTTTTCTACAAAGTTTCAGCAACAGGGAACACATTCTCTCCTTACACTGTCTTTTTGTGTAACCCTTTTGCTTTCTTCTAAAAGTGGGCCACAGTTTGTCAACAAAGGAATTGCATTTTTCCTTCTTCCTCTTCTTCCCACCTTTCCTTTGGAATGCTTGTGCAAGATTTACAGGATGGCTTTTTCTCAGAAAGTTGCAGCAATGTGGGGTGTAACTTAAGGTTTAGAGGCACGTTCTGATCCCAAGGAAAGAGAGATGACACACTACCATGGGCTGTCATTGCTGCAGGGTCAGGATGCTTATTCTGTCTTTCATAATCACCAGATGCTCAGATTGCTCTGTGATTCCTGCCCTTTTGTTTCCATTGCCTTGTTCATCCAATGCAGAGTGAATACTTCAACAGTCCTAATACAGCGAGATTTACTGTTAACACTGGATTTTGCCCTTTGTCTACATACAGTGCTGGGCGTTTTTGCAAAATTCCTGGCTATTGTATTGCTTTGAGATGGCAAGGTATCATGATCTGCTGACAGTCTTGGAGGAGGGAAACTGCTGTAGGAAGACAAGACAGTACCTCATTCTGCAAAGACAGAAAGTTCTTTACTGACTCCAAGCATGAAATGAGAAAATCGCAATTTTTGTCTGAAGGCCAGAGATCACTAGAAATGCATTTAAATTCAATCAACACATTCATCCTGGGATGTTAGTAAGAGCATGTCTTGTGTGTATGAGTCATATGGCTTCCTGAGTCGACATGACATGGTTTGCCAGACTTCTGTTATGTTTGACACAAGAGTGTTCTTCAGATATCACGATGAATCAAAGTTCTCATAGACAGAAAATTCATAGCCTTGCAAAAAGTTCTCTTTTTGTTGACCGGAGGGTGAGTGTTCTCACCAGTTTTTAGATGCGTTCTCTTTCTCCCCATGCTTCTGCTAACCAAGACCCCAGTAACAGACACTCCTGCTCAAAGACTGGGAGTTCACCTAGAGCTCCAAGCAAGCCCAGGGAATGAGTTACCTGCAGGAAGTTCACCTTCATGTTAATTTTTACATTAATTTTCCCTAACATGTAAGGAGTTCCTCCCCTCACTCCAGGAATTCTTAAAAGTTTCTGCCTAAGAAATTTTTGGAATTTCATTTCAGTATTTCATATCTTTCCTCATCAATTCCTAACTCAAGTGAGAGGGAAGCTGAATGTAATGTGATGCAGTGCTGCTGGTTTTTTAATTATCTGTTAGACAATTCTTCTGGGCTGCTTGTGCCCTTTTGAAAATGGGGGCTTACAAGGCTCTCTTTTTGCAGAGACCCAAATAAATAATACCTCGTACTGACCTTGGCAGGCCAGGTCCAGCTAGCTGCATTCCGTCCTATTCTACTTGATTACCTGCAAGTTTTACTATTTTGTCAACAAGCATGCCTTTTCCAAAACTGTTCAGGGCAAACACATAGGATATGTCCACAGTATTTCCCAGCATTTCTTGGTGGCTGCTTCCAGATTGTAGCTGCTTTTGTGTCCCTGTGTAATATGAGCACCAACCACCCATCTCTCTGACCTGGAGGTCTGATCACCAGAAATTAGAATCTTGCAGACCATGAGTAAGAAAAATTCCTTTACTATTGTTACAGTGGTCCTGTCCCCATGAATCTCCTGTCTCTCTTCCTCTCTCCCCGTTCTGTGGTACTTCCATCTAGGATTTTAGAGTGGGAAATAACAGGCATCTGAGGCCTCCCCCTCAGCTCTGTGCTCAGGTGAAGCATAGTACAAGAAAACAAAGGGCAGGAGCTACCCCAACAGATTCTATTGACTGAAGGGATCTGATTTTTCCAGGGACAACAGAAAGGGGCTCTCCACATTTTGAGAAACACAGTCAATATAAGGGACTGTTGTGTCACTGTCATCTGTCAGCTACTGCTTTTGTCTGTTGCCTGTCCTTAATCTGTTTTACATCTGTTAGTTTATAGAGGTCGTTCATGCTGTCTGTCCCAACTTGAAATAAAGATATCCCTGCTTGCTTTGCAACATTTATATCAACGGTTGTTCTAAGAGGGAAGGTACACACAGGATTCCCTGGTGGAAGTACTTACAACGCTTCCCTTTAGGGTCCGTCTCGTGTATCCCCCCTGCTCAACCCCAGCTTGTGAGCACTACTGCCCAGGTCTGTCAAATGACAACTTAGTATCAGTCACAACACAACCTATTACTGACTTTCTAAACTGGGTCTAATTTAACTTCCTGTGGATTCAGGCTAAGGTTTAAAAGTGCATCACAATAAAGCAAGAAAAACTGATTTCTTCACTGTTTGTATTCGGATGCTCTGTCAGGCTTGAGTGTTACCAGTCGGTATTAAGTTGCTGCCAGGGAGATGTTAGTCACTGCTTGTGATGAGGAGTGGTGCGAGCCTGTGTAAAGGAAATGTGGAAATTTAATGCAGACTGCAGCTTCCATAAGCCAGGATATGACAAACCTTAGGCAGGCTTCTCTAAGGATACAGATCTGGAGGGGTCATTTTTATCCAGTGAACTAACTGGTCCTCTTCTCAAAATATTTGTTATTACTGTAACACTAGTGCCCCAAAAAATGGCTACAATCGCACCTCATTTATATTTGTCTTTCCTCTTTTGTTGTTGTATAGTCTTCAGTACATGAATTCAGGCTTGTTTCTCCTCTGTACAGCTTGATATATCAGTCTACAAATGCTCCAAGATCCTTCAAGGCAGAAAACATTATACAAATAACCTGTTAAGTGACTCGATGTTTATATGACTTTGTGCTTGTTTTCTGCAATTCAAGATGTATTTATGCACTCCTGTGCCTACTTTGTTCAAGGAGGTTTATGTGTTCAGCTGTTTGGTTCTGTCCCCTCTGTGCCTTTCTAAGCGTTATGTGTAGCTCAGTTACTGCAGAAATTCAAATGTGCTTTCTTTCCACCAAAAGAAGGTGATACAACATACAAACACAATAAAATCCACGCTTGTTACATGCTAAGAAACTTTCTGCTCACAGAGGCTGATATTTCTTGATTCACAAAGGTACGTGACATGTCAGAGCTGTTGACGGATTTGAAGAACAGAGGTCCTTCTTGACACTTGCAGTCAATATTCCATGATTTGGCAAATCCCACATCCAGCTTTACTCAGCCGGGAAAAAAATATTTCAGGTGATCAGCCAGCCAACTACAAATGTTGTTCTAAATACTGGAAAGGGCACCCTTTCTCCTGAGCTCTACCCAACCTGCATTCAGCATCCCACACATGTGACTCACTGCTAGGCCTCGGGCAAGTCACTTCATCTTTTTCTCTCTCAGGCTCCTCGTCTTTAAAACAGGGTAATAATACTTTCAGCAGTGTTGGGAGCATTAATTAGCTAATGCCCACACAGGACTCCAGACGGATCAAGCAATAGATGAATGCAAAATAGTAGTATCATCAGTTACTGTTAGTCAGAATTTGTACTGCCACTGCTGTATTTTAGTGGGGAAAATAGGAGCAGATTCAAAAGGTAAGAGTTATAGTCAGAAAACTTTTTTTTTTTTTAGATAAATCTGCATTCTTATAATCACTCGTTCCTGCATGCAGATTTTTATAGCCTATCAATATTTAAGCTGTCAGTGAGGTTTATAATAATAGGACTTAGCTCTTTGTGGGATCTGAGGCTGTGCGAGCATTAGCCAAATCCTCATGATTCTCCTGCTCTGCAGATGGGGGAAGAATGAGGCAAAGGTGAATTGACTTTCCCAGAACATCACAGGGAGTGGTTTTAGGACTGTGATTACCCTTGGGACTATCTGACTCCCAACCCTGCATTTATTACTCCAGACCTTTTAGCTTTCATTGTTAAAAGAATTCTTACAGAAACAGATGGTGGAATGAAGCAAATGGTCTAAATTTGTGTGTCAGAGTGACAAGATAATTTGCTCTAAACTTACACTGACAATCAGTGGTTTTGGGGGAGGGGGTGTTTCATGTTAGACAGTTTGGCAGTTCAGCCTCATGCAGCCAGGACCCATGAGCAGAATAACACTCAGTCCAGTGTGCAGATATATTCCCTGGAAGTGTTCAAGGCCAGGTTGGATGGGGCTTTGGGCAACCTGGTCTAGTGGAGGGTGTCCCTGCCCATGGCAGGGGGTTGGAACTAGATGATCTTTAAGGTTTCTTCCAACCCAAACCATTCTGTGATTCTTATAGTAAGGGCAGGCACACATCTGTTGTTGAAAATCATGTAACCTTAAATCTGTGTTATCTCTGTGTCTGGTAGTGCATTGGTTCATTACTTGTAGGTTTGCTGGCCAAAGAGTGTGAGACAGGAAGTTTGGTGAGAGGTATTACCTGTTTCTAACTACTTCCATTCATTTAATGAAAAGTTTTTCCTTCATCTTCTTCAGAAATAATTCTTTGCTGATATATTCAGGACATCAGTACAGACACTTATCCTACTCTTTTTGTTCAAAAAAAGTTCTGTCTTTTTCCATTCTCCATCGAACAGTCAGAAATCTGGGTGGACACTGTAACTATTTGTGGTCCTTAGCAAAATTATAAAGGTCAGAGTTCTCTTTTTGTTGTAACAGACAGGAAACATCTATCTTTTGAGCCATAGAATTGTTTCCTCCTCTCTTCTGTAATAATTAAATTGTCCAATCTTCTAATTTGCCCAGTTTTGTCCAGCCATGTGTTGTTGGGAATCGGAACACAAGCACAAAAAGAACCTAATATAGACCTGTCTCATACATTACTCTCCAAGTAATTGTGCCCTTTGCACTGCACAGGTGTTGCAAAGTTCCTTGGTTTTGTGGTCCTGCTAACGTAGTTTGGAGAAGAGCTCACGAGTGCCGTGGAACAGGGATCAGGATTCAGAGAATGCTGACGTGACTCAGAGCTTCCTCTGATTCATTCCCCTGAACTGGGCTGGGCCTTCTGAGCTACAGCACAGAACTGGAGTTGGAGGATTATTTGATTTTGAAAGCATTGTCTTGCCAGTGGGCTGAGATGAATAGCTGAAGACAGCAGGCAGGGTTACAAAGCTGCTGACCCATTGGACGGGGCTATAAACTGATGGAGGCGAGCGACTTGCATAGATAGGGGATGACGAGAGGTCTTACGGCACTATGCTTTCCTTTCTGCGGCCCTTCTGATTTCTGGTGGCTGATACAAAATAGTCCCAGAAGTAGTGAGATAATGTGAGTGACATGTTAAGACTTGGAGCTGGCAATTATCTAATTCTCTGCCCTATTTATTGTGACATTTTGTCTTTCCACCTCCCTCTTAGAATATCCGCATACGTTCTGTGACAGGAGTTGGGTTTTACATGCCAGCAGGGAAGATCAGAGGCACACTGGCATCCCGATTCCTGATGGTGGATGGTGAAAAGGTGGCCACGGGATCATACAGGTGGGTCGCTCTTGCTTAAGGCAAAGCTACATTCTTTGTGTAAAGAATGGCTTGTGGCTTTGCTCGAGAGACTTCTTCCCATGTCATTCCCTTTATCCCACCCTCTGTAATCTCTGTGGCATCTGTAGAAATTGGGGTGGGACGACAGAGAAGGTGGCATAGAGCACAGCTGATCCTGGGAGAATGGAACATGCCCATGCTAGCAGACCATTTCAGTGGGCTAGAGAGAGTTCCACACTGCATCAGGTGGTGGTCTGCAAGGGCTCCCTGTCAGCCACTGTGCTGTGTTTTCTTCAGTGAGGTTTTTAGTCTGGAGACTCCTCCTCTTGGTGCAATGTTGCTTTTTTAAGAGGGTAAACTATCTTTCAGAGCTTTACAGCCTTTCTTCCAGATCTGGTCTGCATGCCTAATGAAGAACAATAATAAAGAGCTTCGCGTATCTATCCTGGCCCATCTTGGCAAGGACATACGGGCAAATGGCATAATGCTACTGATTCCCATGTAGTGTCTTAGATATTGTTAGGTGGGCTGGGTCAAGTATGCACCGAAAAATCTAATGTCAGTTCTGTCTCCTACTCTTAGCTTCACATGGAGTTCATCCCACATTGACAGAAACATCCTGCTAGTCTTGACAGGACAGCACGTGGAGATGTTTGACGTTGAGTTTCGTGAGCTCTATGCCATCTCAGAGGAAGTTAATTTCTACAAGGAACTGGGTATTGCTAACCCATTCCTTCTTGGAATTGGGAAGCCAGGCCTTCATTCTTCCACCGTGGCTCGGAAGTTCATTAACCCCAAGTACGGTTTAGTGGCGGGGGCAACCCGTGGTGATATGATGCTCTGGGCTTCACGACACAGGCAGGATAATCAGGGAAACATGGAAAAGGAGGAAACAAGTGAGTCAAAGAAACGGTTAAATCAGTTTCTGAATGACTTAATCACATTGGAGCAAGAGTTCCCAGAAATTGATCCACCTCTGGAAAACGTGAACAAGCTGAATCGGAGCCCTCAGAAACTGTTCTCCCGGCTCCACATGGACCTGAAAAATAAATCCAAATCCAGAGAGTCTATTCGAGATGTGAAGAAGGAAGATGCACAAGTCAATTCAAAGCAAGGAAAACGGTTTGCCAGTGGGCTTTTCAGTCGCAAGGCCAAACGGTCTCCAGGCTCAAGCATTGAGGCCAATTCTTTTGCCAGTGAAGGACATTCAGGAGAAGACCTTGGGAACATGAAACTGGAATATGAGCGGCTCAGCATTGGCCATGCCAGTGTTCGGAGCACTGGAGACATCTCAGGTAAAACCTCACCATATTCTGCTTCGGTGTCCCTTGTTCCAAGTTCGGGTGATTGGTGCAAACATATTCAGTATAGGCACTTGTGAGTAGATCTTGTTATTTCCTCTACATTAAAATGAGTGGGATCAAAGAAGAGTAGAAGGTGTATCAAATGATAGAGGCAATTTAAGTTGAAGGCAATTTAATGGCAGTCTTATTGGTACTTCTCATGTAAATGTTTTCTCATACTTCTCAGCAAGCAGGTATGGGACAAAGGGAGAGAAAGGTTGAACATCTCGTTGTGTAAAACAGGTTGTGTGTACAGTTCATGAAGTGCACTGCCCTAATAAACAGCAGCAGTATGCTTAGTGTTGTAGTGGTTAGCAGGGTGCAGACAGATTTCTAGTGTGACTCCTTCTTTCCTCATTTAGCTTTGGTCAGGTGTGTTTTCCATGACAAGTTACCAGTGGAGAAGAGAGGAAAATGTGTTTATATTGAGGTGAAGGGGCAAGGAGTGGAGGAGAGGCTGGAAGTCTTTTTAATTTGCGCTGTTATCACCTTCTGAAATGGGGGAGAAGGTCGTGAAAATAGAAGCTATGGAAAAGCACTAGATCTCAACCTTTCTTTCTTTCTTTGCTAACACGATTGATATTTTCACTCAGTCCTTCCAAGTTTTCATCCAGTTGAAGGCACAAATGATAAAGATTTCTCCCAATTTATGAGTTCCTAGCCAACTTCCCAACATTTTAGATGTTTTGATTGAAGATCGAAGTAAATCTATGGACTACAGCCTGGTTGTCTTCCTCTCTGTGAACTGTGCTGGGTGTCAATACATCCTGCACCAGCGGGAAAATAAACTAGTTCTGCAGAGAAAATCTCTCCTTGACTTGTCCAGCCATACTTGTCCATTCTGTGCTCTGATGAATGCGAAATGCAGGTGCAGAGAGACTTAATTCCCTTGAGACTGCCATGATAGGAAATGGAAAGACATTCTCCTGAGACCAAAAAGAAAAGCACAGTACTGGAAAGGTCAACAATAGCGATTGATTAGGTTCTTGGAAATATTTGTTGCTGAATGGAGAGACTCAAAAATGCCAAATGAACATCAGAGAAGGCATGGATGGTTTATTTAGGACTATAGTAGACCCATTTTAGGATGTGTATTTGGCATTTGAGGAGGCAGAAGTAAACCCTGGTCTAAAGAGGTTCTCTCTCCAAGTCACTTTATGTCTTGAGCACAGACAGTATGTGCTGCTGGGCCCCATTCCTCAGAGACAGGAACAACAAAATCTGTGAAGATCTATAGGGAGATGTATGGGCATATCCTCTCAGAGGAACGGACCTGAGGGCTTGCACTACCCTCTAGTGACACAAGTAGAGAATTGTGTAATCTCTGATTTGTCAGCACTTCACAATATCAGAGATTCCCTACATTCTCGCTGTCAGCTGTTTTAAAGCAGACAGCCTGTCATTCCCACAATGCCATGATGAAATTAGGCCCAGATTAAGGCACGAAAGAGATTGATGCCTCTAGCTGATCAGTGGGGCACTGCGCCCTTCTGGAGCATTGCACAGTCAGGGCAGCAGGGATGTCCCTCTTCCTTTTAACACAGTGGATCTGTGCCAGACAGTCTGATGCTTGGTCTGGACCGTTTCCACAAAGACACTATCATGCTATTACGTTCAGGTTTTATTTATTGCCACTGCTACTTCTGAGGGCTGGCACCTCTTTCAATAGAGGAGAAGGAAGAACTGAGAACAGGTGCAGGGAAGGCACAGAGGTCCAGCACACCAGCCTTCCCGCTGTGCTCTTCCTGACCTGATAAGTCTTTCCAAGGAGGCCATGCAAGTATTTTTTTGTTTGTTTCTTTTATGCAAATTGAGAATGCCTGTTCTTGGTGGCAATGGGAGACTCCATGGTTTTTGAGGTATGGCGTGAATAGACTTAGGTCATCTGGTGTTGTAAAAGGCTGCAGGATGATCATTGCTTGTGTGTTCCTTTTGAACTGAATCACTGTTCTTGAGAGAAAGCTTCTCTAGTGGTCCCAAAGTGGCATGTGAACAGAGATGATAGAGGGCACATTAGAAAGATGGAGAGTCATGAGAAAGAGGAAAAAAATGAGTTAGCACAGAGGATCCTGCAGCTACTCAATCAGTAGCATGTGCTTCATTAGGATTTAATAAAAAATTATTGAACATGGACATGGAATAGCGTTCCAGCTTCAAGATAAAAATAGGAGGCACTTTGTTCTTGGGTAACTGTAGGACTGACTTAGTTTTAAAAGTTTAAGTGATCTTTGAGCAGGCCTCATAAAAAACTGATGCTGTGATACTCTGGGTGACAGAAGGGAGGTAAGAAGTGGAAATGAAGGAGGGAGAAGGTGCTTGGTATGCAGTCAGATTAGGATGCAATTATTCAGAGCTTCACAGTTTGAAATAGCTGCCCTTACCTTTTGTAAAGATTAAACAGCACACTTAAGCCCTGTGGGCCTGGCTGTGCACACAGCCTCCAAAGTCACTATTAATTCTGTAGTACCACAGAGACACATCCCACCTTGCAAATGCATAGAGAGACCAGATCTATACCCCGAGTAGCTCGCAGAGTAATTGAAAGACATTATTCAAGCAGGCTAAAGGTCAGGTTCAGTCTTGTAAGAGCAAATGGTGATGAAGAGAATCCGAACTGGGAAGGGAGGTGATGAAAGTGCATTGTGCGACAGTCTGAAAATCTGACTGGGTGTTTGCGTGCTAGGAAACGTTACCTACAAGTCAGAATTGGAAGTCTGGAAAATACGAGGGCTGCAGACAGTAATGTCCCAAACTAAGTGTCCAAATTAACATCCTGAGACGTTGTCGTAACACACTGCACGGAGACCATGGTTTGTCTTACAAGGCTTTCTTAAACCGCATAATCAAATTGAAACAACCCTTGAATTTCACTGTTGCCTCTTAGGAACACAACAGCAGCAGCTCTGAACCTGACCAGAATCTTATTCGTTTTAAGCTGCTGCTGGGCAGACTGTGATCAGCAAAGACACTGATGTCTGTGTGCAGTTTCTGGGAAATACTGCAAGGGTTTGAAAGCTGTTTGCCTTTGAAAAGCGCTTGGCTTTTTGTTTTGTTTTCTCCCTTGCAAGAAGCAAAGTGGGCTCATTCAGGAGGGTCTGCCGTCCTGAGTTTCTCCATATATTGGCCTTTGCTCCTCATGAGTGTTGGTTGCAGAGCACATATACTTAATAGCAGGATTTCATGTTTCATTTTTGGGTACTTCTTGCAACAAGAAATGATATTTACACTGGACACTGCAATACTGCAGAAATAGCTGCTTAGTCGTCACCGGTATTTTTTAGCCAAAGTGGGATCATGAACAGGCGGTAACTGGAATTTTCAGGCTCTTTTCTAAAGAGAAAGAGGAGAACATTGTTGGCTACATTTAAGGAGGGTGTTTGCTCTAACTGTAGCAGGATCTGTAGAAAAAAGTCAGATGACAAGAGTAGAAAGTGAGAAGAATAAAGGAGTTGGGAGTTGAGATTAAGCAGAGGAGAACAGACACTTTCGAAAATAAAGATGAGGGCCGTGAATGTGATACAGACAGGGAGGGGAACAGGGGTGGTGAGGAATGGGTCAAAGGGGGACAGGAGGTAGAATGAAATGCCATGGGGAGACGTGGGGAGGAGGCAGTAGCATACAGAGCAGCCACAAAAGTGAGGGCAGGTTTCAGTGCAGCCTCCCACGTGGATAGCAAGAAGTTGCAGTGTGGAAGAAGGTGGAGAGAAGGAGGAGGAGAGGAGAGGGATCTTCTCTTCCCCATCACCTACAGGTGAGGAAAACACTATACAAAAAAGATGTGGGCAGTCTGGGGAGGGTCCAGAGGAGGGCCACTAGGATGATCATAGGACTGGGAAGCCTGCCATATGATGAAAGGCTGAGAGAATCGGGTTTGATCAGTCTTGAGAAAAGAACACTTAGGGGAGACCTCATCACCATGTTCCAGTACTTAAATGGTGGCTACAAAGAAGATTGAGACTCCTTTTTTTACAGGGAGTCACATGGAAAAGACAAGGGGCAATGGGTGCAAATTACTCCTGGAGAGATTCTGATTAGACACGAGGAAAATTTTTCACAATGAGAACAATCAGCCATTGGAATAATCTCCCCAGGGAAGTGGTGGATTCCCCAACATTGGACACTTTTAAGATTCAGCATCCAAACTAACAGCTAGCTGTAATGAAGGAGATCAGACAGCAGTGCAAGCATTGCAAAGTACAGATACCGGGGAGCAGAAGGAATCCATACAGTGAGCAATGAAAAAAAAAAAAAACCCTAAGATGATAAAAAATTGAGGCAGCATACTATGCCACTTAAGTGGGAGACCCTGAGGCCTTAGGATTTCTCTTGCAAAGGAAATGGTGGAAATACCAGCACTTGAGATGTTTAAAACTGGACATGAAAAAACGTCTCCTGAGAATGTGTGTGGGGATCAGATGGATGAGATGACCTTAATTATATTTTTTTTTTCCCATCCCTCACTCTTTGGAAAACCTCCCACCCAAGTCATAGCCAGACTGTTTTTCAGTGCCAGCTGGGACCTAAGAATACCACTGAAGCTGGCCTGGGTACGGGCCAAAGCCTGGAAATACTCCTCCAGTGGTTTCCTCCACAGTGAGGAAAACTCTGAATGTGCTCTTATTTTAGTGACTCTTCATTTCACAATAGGAGGAAATAAAATCATGAGGGAGTCCAGAATAATGTAGGTCCAATACAAGGTGTATGGTAAATAATAATAGAGGATTGACGTGTGAGTCCAAACTTTATACAGGTCTTACTTTCTTAACATTACTTTTAACTTCTTTTCATTCCAGGTAACCTGGGTCCAAACTCCGCTACAAGTGATAAAAACAAACAATCTACCTGTGTGTTATCTTGATTGTGAAGGATTGCCTGGAGAACTGAAGACTGAACAAGCTGGAACAGTAACTTCTTGATTGATTTTGAACTTACAGCCAAGTCCTCACGCCGTGGTTTGTCAGGCCACTGCACGGTCCTGGATGCACCTGGCACCCCCAGTTAAAGCACGTTTACTGGGTGAAGCGTAGACTGTGGATGGTCAGTCCCTTAAATGAGGGTTAGTGATGAATGTATTAGTCCATATGTCTGTGTGCGCACTTATTTTATATATAAAAACAACTGTGATGACTGGTCTCAGAGCTTGCTCTGTGTCCAGATAAATGCAGGAGATTTTTTTGACCTACTTGTGCTGCTACTTCAGTCTGTCTAGCTACAGACTCAGAATCACTGTGTTGCATTGTTTACTCTACTGCACTGCAGAACTGTATTGGTCTGACCGGCTGGAAGGCTAAATCCAATCAAAGTGGCAAATTCTGGGTGAAATAAGGAAGTTTACAGACAGCGTAGCAATCCCTTGTCCACAAGGAGTCTTCTTGTAGATTCCTGTTGTCACTTATCCATGCAGGAGTGGTCCAAGAGAAGGGCTTAGCTAGCAGAGGCCAACAGATTAGTGTCTTAACTGTTTCATGTCATAAATATAGCAGTCGAACAAAGTGATTTTGCAAGAATATAATAAAGAGGAAAAAATGGAATATGGGGGGATGTTTAACCTGCATTTGAGACTGGGTCAGGAGAAATACCTAATAAGGGGGACTGGGCAGGACCTGGGAGCAATAATGCAGCCTTCAGTGGCTGTTACAAAATCCTATTTGTTGCTAAAATTCAGCAATACTTTACCATTCATGGAAACTGAATGATTAAGGAGCACATCTTTGAGGGTTGAAAGAGGAAGCAGAGGAAGCATACAAGCTTTTCAATGCTCCTTTTTTTCTTTTTTCTTTTTTTTTTTGAAGTTAACCTTTCCAAACTCTAAATCATGCCAAAATCGAGAGCTTTGATCCATAAGAAGCACTGCATGCAATCAGACCAAAGGCCATCTATCTGCTATCCTGTCTCTGAGGATAGCCAGTAACAGGTGATCACAGAAACATAAAATATAAAGCTTGTACACAGAGGTCTTTCTCTGACACCATTCCAAAAGTATATGGACTTTCTGAACTGGCAGTTCCTTCTGGACCTGGCCTGAATGAATGAACTTAGTCCCTTTCTAAAAATCCTTTTCTACTTTTGGCCTCCACAGTGTTCTGTGGCAGTGAACCCTGAGTTCATTGTGTGGTATGAAAAAGAACTGTTTTCAGGCTGTTTTAGTGGTTTTCTTGATGACTTCATCAAGTGGCTCTAATTCTTCCACTGTCAGATACAGCGATGACCACCCCTATTCCTTGTCTCCTTGCCACTTGTGATTTTACAGACCTATATCATATATGTCCTCAGTCATCACTTTTTCTGAGTTGTAGGTTCATGGTATATGTAACTATTCATTACACAGGACCTCTATCCTCTTGATCACTGGCCCTTTTCCAGTTCTACCCACTAACAGAGTGGAGAAGTGGGTTGTTTTTGTTTCTTCAGCATGTGGATTGATGTTTCACTCGGCTTTCTTGCCATCTAAATTACATACTCTGCTGTCATAAATAAGCCCTCTTGTGATACCTAAGAAAAAATAATTCTAATTGTAAGTAGGCACCTGAAAACTAACATACCTACTTGCCAAAAACCTATTCAGACATTAGAAAAACACAGGTTTAGTTTTCTTTTTGCTTAGAGAAACCATTTGAGTTTTTCACTGCACAAGGAATTCACCACAAAAGCAACTGCTGCACTCCCAACACAAACAAGCTGTTCCAAAGACTCTTCTAAGTGCTGGGTTGCAGCAATGGTGGTTACACTGAAACAGCTGTCTGTAGTCGATGATAAAGTGTAATTGACTGATTAATTGATTAACTGCCTTTCCTGGAAGTGTATTTAATTTGAATGGCAAGCAGTTTGTTTTACTCTGAGTTTACCCTGTGGAACATCTTGAGACCCTAAAATACCAAAGGTATTGTGCCTTCTGTTAAACTTACTCATCCTCACTCAGTGCGTTAAATGCTTGCTAGTCTATATAGCTATTCTATATAGCCTTCTGGGAACAAGCTGTGGTTTTACAGCTGGGTCTCTCAGCTCCTATCATAAGCAGTGTTTTATCAAATTGTTCCTGTTAATGGGAGAAAAGAGTTGTTGGAAGTGACACCATCATTTGGACATAGAAGTAACTTAATACATGAGTTGCCCTTGTTGGCTTCAGGTGTATGGCTCATGTGCCGAAAGCTATTCACTGTATGCTTGTAGGATTGTCTAAAATGGCTTGATTTTGCCATACTTCTGTTATTCTCTAGTCATTTGGGAGATTTTTTTTTTTTGTCTCCTTGTATTTATTTCACTTTGTTAGCAGAGATCAGAGATAAACTTATCAGGCCAACCTTGTTCCACTTTTTGTTCTGGTAAGAACATTGTCATCTGGTGCTTCCTTGTTCTCCCAGACTTTAAAAATATTTATTTATTTTTTAATTGTGCAATAGGTTAATTAACTAATTAGTACCATGTTGATATATATGGTCAGGTTTTCCAGTAAGTCCTCTATCTCTTTGGTTTTGTCTTGCTTCATCGTGGGTGGAGTGACTTCAAAGATAGGCCGAGGCTGATTTCACTTGTCCTTCCTTTCCTTCTGTGCTTGCTTATTAACATGCTTTACTTTCTCTTTCCTATGACAGATGTGAGAGCACTTTTCTTTAACCTTGTCAGCTAACAGGATCTCCTTTCCAGAGAGTGTCTCTCACCTGTTTGTCCTATTTTGTTGCCACACCAGTTCCTGAAAAGCAATGTTCACTTGTTTTTAAATTCCTTCCTCTGTCACAGAAGTCGAGTCTCATGCCTTGACTCCAGGGGCTAGTAGAATTCCTTAGGCTTATCACACACTGTTTAATTACTTAATTTGAGAGAGCAAACTTGCTTTCTTGCATGATATGAATCTGCTCCTTAAACTCAGCGTGACTCTTTGGGGACGCATGCAGCCTTGCTGATCCACAATGGATATTTCAGACTCTGGTGGAACTTGTTCTTCCCTGAAGATAACATCAGCTGAACTTGGACTATTTGGCTGCTCCTATGGCAACCAATCTGAGTCTGGGTGAGGTGACCGCATTTATTTTGACTAGTTTTGCTAATTGTGGTTCTTGATGAGTGCTACAAACCTGAGGCTGTGATCTGTAAAATGAATATCACTCTCCAGATAAAATGTGGTTGGTGGTGCTGGGGGGCAGAGGGGCGAGGAGCAGTGGTTATGGATCCTGTTGGAAGTCTGCCAGCGGAGGCTGAAGGTACAGCAGTACCTACGGCAGTCTTCAGATAAGCTATCATTTGGTCCTTGCCCAAGATGCCGCCTCTTGCAACCAAGCCGCTAACCTCCCAAGGGGGGCAGGAAAGACGGGAGACATTTGTTTTTCTGTTGCTATTTTAAAGAACAAGATTAGCTCTCTTTGGCATCTGTGGCCTGACCCTGGACAATCCCAAGAGGGCGCCTGTTCTCCGGATCTTGTTGACTCTTTGGCTTGTCAGCCCGGGTTTGCTGATCTGCATGGCATACCATGGGGTCTACACTTGCGGTGCTGGTTTTGGACAGAGTAACGAAGCTGGGGCTGGCAGCTCGCTCTTTCTTTCTGGCGTGAAATGGTGGGTGGTTCTGAATGAGCCTCTGGGCTGAACGTGTGCCTTCTGGGTTTGTTTTGTTATGCATTTGTATATGTAATGTACGTGTATCCAGAGAATTATGCCAGAGACCTTTTCTAAGTCAAACAAATAAACTCTTTACTATGTTACATTTGGATAGTTTGTTCGTTGGTGTCGCTTTTAATTTCTCAGCTGCAGTTCCTGGGTTTTGGGGATTTTTCTGTTTATTTGTCAGGAGCCTGCACTATCTGGATTACACAGAAACCTGCTCTAACACATGAACATCTTTGGCCAATGTTTGGCGGTGCACGTTAAAAGATGTGTGGGCAGGTAAATTCCCCACAAGTACAGTGTCCTGTGACTCTGAGTACC